GCTGACTCAACCTTGAGACGCTCAGGATCAAACTCCTGTAGTGGAGGCAGAATTAGCCTGCAATACTGCATTCTAACCACTGTGTCACCACAACTCTTCAATATACTTACTTTCATGAAGTAATATAATTTTCTAATTCCAGGGCCAATTCCAAGAGTCGAGGTGGCGCAGCAGTTAGGGTGCAGTACTGCAGGCCACTTTAGCTGACTGTGTTCAGCAGGTCAGGGGTTCAAATCTCACTGGCTCAAGGTTGACTCAGCCTTCCATCCTTCCGGGGTAGGTAAAATGAGGACCCAGATTGTTGGGGGCAATGTAAATATATATATACATTGCTTACTGGTGTACACTGCTTAGAGAGTGCTTGCACTTAAAGCGGTATATAAGTCTCATAAATAAATAAATTTCCACCTGTGTATTGCACATTTGGATGTAACATGAAGGTTAAGAAAGTAACACACTTGAACATAAAATTTTAGCAGAAGAATAAAATATACATGAAATAAATATCAAGAATCTGTATGGTCTTGCTAGGATTGGCATTTTCATGGACATAATGGATATTATTTTTTAAAAAAATTGATAGAGCTTAAGCTCATTGTCCAAGAGAGCAAGATCATTATAACTATAAAACATATATGGTTTGTTATCTTTATGAGCTTTCTGTTGTTGGGTTATTTTTAAGAGTTTAAGGAAAGTAGTATATTTAATAACAGCTAAACCATAAGGAAAAAGCCAGTCAACAAATCCATTAATTACATATAGAGATTTGTTTGTAAAAGAATAAGGTTGAAAAGCTGTTCCTGCTGAATTATGAATATGGTTGTCATATAAAAATTATCCTTAAAATAAGAATAATATATAGTATAAAACTTTTGCGAATATTAATTTTAACAACTTTTTATATCTGTTTGAATTTCAAACGGGCAACCTATTAAGTTTATATTTCTTCTGTGGTATTTACTGCCAAGAAAACAATTATTCAGACTTTCAAAAGTAATTCTGAGTAAAGAAACTTCATGAACTCTCTATAATCATAAAGTAGAAAAGGATTGTGGTCAGAAATTAAAGGCTAGATATATAGTAAAAATAAACTTTAATCAAGTTGTACAGTTTGTACAGTTTGAAGTATTCATTTTATTCAGTAAAATACACATAACTGTGAATTTTGTATTTTCAATGGAATCTTAATGGTAAAAATGTTTTTGACACCAACAATAAAGCTACTACAGTGTAGGAGTTAAGATGTTGTACAAGAACTGGGGAGACCCGTCTCCCTGCAGCTCACTGCATAATTTTGGGCCAGTAACTCCCATTTGGACTATGTCATAGAATTGTTGTTGCTGTGAAGAAAATGGAAGGAGAATTCCTGAACAATATGTAGGCTATAAAGTGAGTGAGTGAGTGAGTGAGTGAGTGAGTGAGTGAATAATAGCAGCAAGCCCAAAGCACATTTATTTGCCAAAACCTTCCTAGCCATGTTGTATAGATATTCTGAATGTCATTTTCCCAATAAATTTGGATGGCGTCAGCTTCAGGATAGTTAAAAATTGAAAAGAAAGATTCATTGACTGCAAGTAGAATTTGCTTAAATCATTATGTTAACCAATGATAAAATTATTGTTTACAATAATAGTTCATGAAGCGCAACATTTTTGGCTTCATGAGCCAGAACATCAAAGCAATAGTTTCATATTGTTCCAGAACAAGAACAGTGCAGTTATCTTATGCTTAGTGGAAAAAAAAAATCACTATTTTTAACCTATCTGGTAAAAAAAAATTTAAAAAAGTAGTATATTCCTTTCCCCCCCCAAAACACATACATTCTCTCTCTCTCTCTCACACACACACACGTGTGTGTGTGTGTGTGTGTAAAATATAAAGTAAAGTAAATATCCACAAAAAGCTCTGTAAGATGTTTCATACCATGATAAAGCCTTTTTCTACTAAAGAAAAGCTTTCAATGGCATTCTGTGATAAGAAGGAAATATTTTAAATTTCTTACATTGATATCTACTGTATACACTAACTGTATATTTGTGTATTCTTTAGGACTTCAAGAACACTGGACTCACCCATTTCAGATGGAGAACATCTGTTTATTTCTTTACAGCCAAGGACCATATAGATAGTCACAAAATTTGTGCAGGCGCTAATTAAAAACTAGAAGTGTTTGAGGGAAGGGTTTAAAGATGCCATCAAGTATTAATTTTGGTGGAAAGGCAATAAAAAGTTATCTCCAAATTAAGAAAAAATAACATTCTCTTAAGATTCTAAACAGAGTCTCTTCTAATCTGTCAACAGAGAACAACAACCAACCTCAAAAGAAACATGAGGAACATGTAGAGGAAGCTTGGGAGGAAATAAGCATGAAAAAACAACTAAAAATTGATGAGCATGTTCTGCCTGAACCCCAGGATTGGACACAGGTTCCTGTCAGTTTAGTTTCAGGTTAAAGCAGAAAACAGTGAGCTGGAAGTAAATATTTTACATGTACATTGGTATTAATACCCAGACATATCTCTATGCAGCCATGCATGTGAAATTCACAACAGTAATTGAGGACATGGACTGTATTGTAATGCACAGGATCATTGTGTATACTGAGTTCAAGTATGATCTTCAATCAATCCTTTTTTCTAACTAAAAAAGGCAGGGTGTGGGCAGAAGCATTCAATATCCAAATATTTGAAAATTTTAACACCTAAGTTTCAAAGAAGCTTGATACATACATTTAACAACATTGTGATCAATTCAGTGGTTGATAGAGAAGCTCAGTGTACCAAGGAACCATAAACATCTTTCTTCAAAATAGAACTCTGAACACCTATCTATAATTTATATAATTCAAATAAATCTAGCAACTTCTATTGCTGTTTTTGAGAAAGAAGGGGAAATGCTCATTCTTAAGTTCACAGAATAATTGCCAGCATACTGTAACTGAAACAGTCGAATGAGTTTTATCTCAGCCTTTTAAGGGTGTACTCTAAAAAGTCAGCAGTTTGTTAACTTCAAGAAGGATGGCAAAATTGAGAAAGGTGACTTTCAACAGGTAATGTTTTGGGGATAGCTGGTAATGTGAATTCCTTTGCCTTTTATCAGTCCTATAACAGACCTTTTGTGATCATTTGTCACCATTAACAACTATCTGCTGCATTTGTTTAACAAATAAGCCCTGTAATGTCCCCTTCTTCACTGAAGGTGCCATCACAAAATACACATTCAATTAAGCAAATGAATTTACAAGCTACCACTATTCTGTCTTCCCACCCCCTTTCCAATGTTAGCTTGCCATTAAAATGCAAATACAATGGCCTCATTAGCTGACAAACAATACCCCTGCCTTTCTCTAACACAGAGAGATTTCTCTTCATTTTAAAAATATGAAACAAATCTCTATCTTACATCACTTGCCATGTTGTAGTATCAGATTTTGCATCTGCATATGCTCACTGTGGAAGGGGAGGGAGGAAACACTCAAAATGAGATCATTAAGAGTGGATGCATCTGTAAGCCTCAGTTCAGTTCCCTTCCTTCCTTATCTCCAACCCCCACGAACAGTCACAAAAAGAATACTGTACCCATGATAGAGAGCTGAATCCACATTTTTCTCTCGACAAAGCTGACATACACATAAATTAGCTTTGGAGAAAAACTTAGCTCGATTGAAACAATGTTATAAAGGCTTCCATTACAGGTCCAAAGTATCAGTGAAGAGGTAGGTGGCTTGGGATTCTTTTTCGTGCTAAAATGAAACATTCTGCATCTGAATGGAACACTCCTCGCCAATATTATTTATGATCGAGGTTGTCACGAGGCCATCATTTTTGAGGGACGCGTGTTTCCGTGTTTTTCTGGATGCCACATGGAAACAGGCCAGCAGTTATTATGACAAAATATTAAAGCCATAATATAGATAATGGAGACGATACTGTTAAATGGAGGGGGGGGGAACCCTTATGGTTTCCTATTCCGTTCTTCTCTTCTAGGATGGCACCTCAGTTTCCTCAGGCGCGCTGACCTTCTAGTCCTCAAAACTCCACAAATCCCCCTCTTTTCTCCCCTTCGGCCACCTCCCCCCTCCCCTTGCATTGCGCCTGTCTTTGTGTCTGCTTGTCACTCACCGGTAAACCAAAATGAAGGTGCAGTCATCAAAAATACAAAGCCAGGAGAAACGTTTGTATAAATAATAATAAAAAATTCGCCCAGCTATCTTGCTTTCTGCCCCAGCAAACATAACACTCAAGATACTTCTCTAGAAAGAGTTTGCTTTCTCCTGAAAGATCACACACCCACTTCAAAAAAAAAAACCAAAACAAAACACGATAAATTCTGAAAAGTTTTGTCCAGCTAACCCAGCCATTGATTTCCCCGGGGTTTTTAAAGTGCTCCCACACACCCCACTTAGGAAACGCTTTCCAGAATAAAGCCAGAGATGGAGAGGTCCGCACGTGTGTGAACGAGAAACATATATTTAAAGGGCGGAGGAAGGGAAAGAAGGAAAAAAAAAAAAAAAGGAGAAGCGCAACTTAAATAAAATGAAGAACTTTCTTAAAATGACAAGAGTGACTTCCCTGGAAACGGACGGAAATAATCAGCCACCCGTCCACGGTTGCGGAGCAGGGCTCAGTCGCAAAGTTCTCAAGGCGACGGCGACGCGTACAGAAAACGGGGGAAGAGAAACGCGCGAGCGATCGAGGAACCTCTTTTAAACCTTCGCTTTAAAAATCCTACTTGACAGCCTTGTTTCTATTTGACACCTGTAATTTTCTCTTCTCTCCTCGCCCCCCTCCCACCTTTGTACTTAGTACTGCAGGCTTGGAGAGTTGAGTGAGGGGCTTCCCCCATTTTTTCCCCTCAAAACTGTCTTTAAGTCATGCCACAAAGCTCGACAGATAACGCAGGGAAGGGAGAGGCTGAAGAAGGCAGGGTAAATGAGAGAGAGAGGGAGAGAGAGAGAGAGAGAGAGAGAGAGAGAGAAAGAACGTGAGAAGGGCTCTGACCTCCTTCGGCAGTCCCTCCGCCTCGTCGACTCCAGCCAAAGCAATCTTGCCTGCCTTCGATCCAATCCTAAAGGGCAGCCATCTTGCTTCCTTCTGCTCCTTTACGAAAGCAGCCTTGCCTCCGCATCAATATTCATAAGGCCGTTTTGACGTCTGTTCTCTCATCACTCGATGAAGCCCCAGCGACGATCCCACTGCCGGACGTGACTGCCATGCGAACGAGTTCCCAGACCCACCGGGAAGAGGAGGGAGAGGTGGAAGGGGACGACCCGCCGCTTCTGCCGGCTCCGGGGCGGGCGAGAGGCCGGCCACCACAACTGTCTCCTGGGGGGGGGAAGCCCCTTCTGCTGGGCCTACCCAGGAAAAGCCAAGAACTGCTTCCCGGAAAATCTTTTTATGGGGATGGGAATTATTTCACAAACTTGCCCGTCCAGGGTGCACAGTAGACTCTCTAGTATTGGGGGCGAAGGTTGCAAAGTCCGCAAAGCTGCGGACTTTGCAAACTTTAGGGCGGAGAAATAGCTTGGAAAGGGAGAAACACCAGGGAAGAGACCGGTCTCCGAAAACGAGTGCTGGCTGGAGCTCCAGCCGCGGGAGACAGTTGCAAACAAAGGGCTCAAAACAAGGAGCTGTCATTCCTAACAGATGTTGTTTCCTGGTGGGCGGGAGGGGTGCTGGGGACACACGCATCCTCGCTCCCTTTAAGCAGAAGGAAGCTTTCACAATGGCTCGCTGCCAAGCGTCATCCCACTCGCAAGCCCCGCCCTACAATTTCCATAGTCAGCGCTCATTGGTGGCGAGAGTCTCCGGGAAAACTGGGAGTCTCTTTCAAAGGTTGCCTCGGAACTTCCCCAAAGTTGATGAGGTCTCGCTTAGAGTAGCTCCTTGTGACTTAGTTGTGCTGGTCGAATGGCACACGCGTCCTTTTGTGCCACTTCCCTAATCTCTATACATTCCCCTCCCTCTCCCCCGCCCCCCACTATTCTTGCACGGAAAGCCTATCCTTCGCCCAACTTTCTTTCCAAGCCAGTTTTATCGAAAATCCAGCATGAATACTTTCTGGCGAATTTAATATTATAAAACCCGGAAAAATAGGTGGGGGGGGGGGGGAAATCGAGATTTAACTATTGTCTTTCATTGGGCAGAAAGTCCAAGTCGGTGCAGAGAATGACAAACTGGCAAAACTGGTATAGGGTAAAAAAAGGACGTAAGTTTGGGGTTCCTTTTGCCAGCGGTCCTTGTTTTGAACTGCAAGTTGATATTAACATTTTCTTAGCAGTAACATACAGTTGATTACAACTTTAAGGAGATGAAGAAAATGAAATAATAGATTTCTGTCAAAATGGTCCACAAAATGTTTCAATATTTTATATTAGAATGCTTCTATGGTTTGTTTTTATTGTCTATCAAACCTAAGCAGAACAGTAATATGGTATGGAAATCTTTCGACTATAACAATTGATAACTTTGTATAGACAGCGTAGCATCGAAACGAAGTAATTTGGAGATGCACGTTGTAACTAGGAATAACTATTATTTTATAAATTGTTGATAAGCGCTCTTTTGAGATTTAATAGATTTACAGCACAATCTCACAATTGCTTATCTGGGAATGCACCAGACCTTTTTCTGAATATATCGATCTAAGGTGTGCTATTAATGCTTTGCTACAAAAGATTACAAGTAATGCCATACAAGGGTAAGCAACCTTGGCTCTTTTATGACTCGTGGACTTCAACTCCCAGAATTCCTGAGCCAGCCATGCTGAGGGGAAAGGGAGAGGTTTCCAAGCTGAGCCATGCTGGCTCAGGAATTCTGGGAGTTGAAGTCCACAAGTCATAAAAGAGCCAAGGTTGCCTACCTCTTCCATATACAATTACAATAGATTGTAAGTTATGTATTATTCTGTAAAGATGGAAGACAGTGGTAGAAACAACCTGCCTCCAGAAGCAGTAAATGCTCCAACACTGGAAGTTTTTAAGAAGAGACTGGACAGCCATTTGTCCGAAATGGTGTAGGGTTTCCTGCCTGAGCAGGGGGTTGGACTAGATGACCTCCAAGGTCCCTTCCAACTTTACTATTATTATTATTATTATTATTATTATTATTATTATTATTATTATTATTATTATTATTATTACATGGTGTCCTTCCCATTTTGGACAATCACACAATCCTTTGCAAAGATGAAAGTTTCTGGAAAGGGAGCACCACACTGCCTATTCTTCAACTAATCTTTGGACATGGTGGGTTAAAAATGTCAAATCCATGAAAGTTGTTCCAGACTAGGGGTCTTCAAACTTGGCCCTTTTATGACTTGTGGACTTCAACTCCCAGAATTTCTCAGACAGTGTGCCTGGCTGAGGAATTCTGGGAGTTGAAGTCCACAAGTCATAAAAGGACCAAGTTTGAAGACTCCTGTTCCAGATTATACAACTTCATATTTCTAGGAGTAAACTTTAATGCATTCTGTGGAGTTTACTTTTTTGACTGATATAAATAGGAAAGTGTAGCTTTCACTGCTTAGAAGCAGTCCTAACGATAATGACAACTGTCCTGTAGTAATGTGTTATGTGCCTATAGATTTTTTCAAAAAGTGGTTGCTATGAGATGCAGAATTTCTTCTATTCTGTGTTTTTAAAATCACATATGCTTCAGAAACAGCTTGAATCCTGGTGACTTCAGTAACAGATCCGTACAAATTTCTTGGCAATAATATAGTAGTGGGTTTATTTTAAAAAAATTCCAGCCTAATGTAGAGCCCAATGAATCCCACAAGGTCTCCCCCTCCAAATATTAATCAGGTGTAACCCTCCTTAGTTTCCAGTTTCACACAAGGCTGGCCAGGGCTGCCATCTGCTAAGACATCCTGATTTATAAAAACCTTCAACTTAACATGGTTTGTAATTTCCTGGAACAATTCAGGCCACTGCATATATTTTATAATTAGGAAGATAATTATAGAAGAACATCCTTGCAAAACTGTACAAATTATTTTGTATCTATATCTGCCATTGTTATGTTTTTCATCGATTTTAATAATCCCAGGTTTAAAATTCAGCATTATTGTTGAGGTTTTATTTTCAAAAGGCTGCATATGCTGCAACTCAATGAAATGTATAAGTTTACAATTTGACAGTACAATCCACTATCATTATCATCATCCTGAATCAATCCACTCCAGGGTGAGGTTTCTTCACTAAAGATTGTGTACTATAATCTACTAAAATAGTCCAGCGCAGGCTAGCATGCAGATGTTTTATTTCTTCCCAGTCTATGGCTGAGAAACAGCAACTGACCCAATATCACCCAGTCTCCTGTATGTCTTGGTCTTCCTGCTCCTATCTAGTGCTTTCCCCTTATATCACACTGACTTTCACAATTGAAATATGACTACAAAGATAAAACAACTAATTTATTTTAGTGAACTTGCTGCAATAATAATCATGATTGCTTCTTCATATCCTGAGCAGTTCAGTGTTGGGGCTTGCAGAGAAGTAGGCCTATAGAATCATATTACTGGAAGGGACCTTGGAGGTCTTCTAGTCCAACTCCCTGCCCAAGACAGGAGACCTTATTGTATTCTGGACAAATAGCTATCCAATCTTTTCTTGAAGACCTCCAGTGATGGGGTACCCACAACTCCAGCAGGCAAGCTGCTCCATTGATTCATTGTTCTGTCAGGAAATTTATTCTTAATTCCAGATTGGATCTTTCTTTAGTGAGTTTCCACCCATTGCTTCTTCTCCTGCCTTCAGGCCCTTTGGAGAGTAAGTTGACCCCCTTCTCTTTGTAACAGCTCCTCACGTCCTGGAAGAAAACTAACAAGTCACCCCTAACCGTTCTTTTCTCTTTGCTTTCTGTATTCATTTTCATTATGTTTCGTAAAATGATCAATAAAATCACCTCTTCTTCATGTTTGACGTCTCTGCCTGCCCTTCTCTCTAACAGGTGGTTCTTGTCTGTCTGGAATCTTCTTTGGCTTTCTTCCAGCTTGGAAAGAAGCCTTTCCTCCTTTCCTTGCCAATGTTTCTTCATCTATGCCATGACATCTGCTGATCTTTTTTGTGCCTTCCGCCCCTCCATCCACAAAGAAGCAGTTGCTGTGATGCATGTAGCCTGCAATTCATTTTTTTTAAACATCACATACTTCCTATAAAACATAAGATATAATTTTGTTTTGCTACATAATGAAAGAAAATACATCCACCTATTTTCTCTTTTATTTTCGAAAAGCAGAACATGACTGCATTCTTGAAATGCTTATTCTGGAGGTGTGGCCTAGCTATTTTTAAGAAGGTTCTAGTTGTAAGGTTCTTATTGCTTAAGGATTGATAAAGCTACAATAACCCAAATAGCAGGATATTATCTCACAACAGAAATTAACCCTTGAATACAAAGTGTACATCTTATGCTTTCCTGAAGTAGCTTGACTTCCAGGTATTTCGATTAATATATCTATATTTCCTTCCACCACATCATTAAGGACCCTGACATATTATAGAATGAAATACTTCATTTTCACTGAAGCTTATTCAGACCCTCAATTAAAAGTCTGCCCTACTTATTTCCAAACAGGACTAATTTGGGTTTAGAATAGCCTTAGGCAGCTTACAAACTAAGGTCTCTTGTTAACACAATATATAATGCATAGAAATATCATGTCATAGCAGAATGTAAACTATGGCCAATCATATCCTTCCATGTTTGAATCATTTAGAAATGCTGACTAATGTGAAGATATTCAGTATATTTTAAATATTGCACCATAAATTAAGCTGAAATGATGCCAATGTATCTTGTTAAACAGATTCATTCTTCAAAATTTAAATGTATTTCCATTTTTAAAAATTGTTGCCAAAAATGCTTTTATTCAACAGTTGTTAAATATGTCTGTCAGTATCTACTTATGAATCTACTTAGAAAGTCATGAGGATTAACATCCAAGAAGGGATATGTAGAACCTCAGCCTAAACTAGTAAAAATTAATAATATGCAATCAATTCTAGAACTTACATCCATAGAAGCTTGCATAGGACTATATCTTAAATTACATCATTTTGCTTATATGCAGACCAATTATTTTCTATTGAATTAAGAGTCAGGTTACACTATCAAATTAATCAGTAGAATTAATATTAATACTTTACAAATACATATAACAAATATTCTCTTTTGTTTGTTATAAGTATTTGTAAAGTATTAATAATATTAATTCTATTGATCAATTTGATCATGTAAGCTGACTGTTAATTCAATAGCAAATAATTGGTCTGCATGTAAGCAAAATGACATAATTTAAGATATAAGACCGAAAACCAGATGCATTGACAACATCAGCAGATATTGCAGGCCCAGATGGAAAAAGAAAGCTCAAGACTTATTGGCAGGAAATATGCAGAAGAGACCTTCATCCTTAGACAAGAGCTAAAATAATATAATAAATGTTATATCTCAACCAGTTAAAAGTAATAGTTTAATACATTTGTACAGTACGTGAAAACATTCATATATATTAAGCACCAAAAGTATTTAGTCTGTCATTGGCTGAGCAGAATCACAATTTCCCATATAGTGTATACATATGAAAAAAATAATCTAACTCTTCCTCTGAAGCAATTTTTTTAATACTCTGTGATCTTTTAAATGATGCTGAACAGCAATTTTTAGTGTTCTTCATCCTTGATCATATTTTTCAACAATCAATGGGTGTCCCTAGGTTTGTAAGTAAAATAAAAAAAAAACTGGAGTATTTCATCACTTATGCATT